TCAAATAAAGTAAGTGATCTTACTGAAACTAGCTAAGAATAGTATCTGCAATATCATCTAGAGGAAAAGGAGGGAAGAGCAATCAAGGAGTGACACCATGGCCATACTTTGAACGAGTCACTGAACAAAGTTTTTCTAGGAAGACTGATTGTTTCCCTGGATATGCTGTGAATGACAAACCAGAGAAATAAATGATGCAATTAAGAGATTCAAAAGTGATTGTTACGTGTAAGGTGCAGGAACGTTTTTCTAGACACCACAGAAATAGGGATGACGAACAAGGTTTTTTTGCCTTTGCTAGCTTTATTAACAGGAAAAAGTTGAGGAGCTAAAACAGATCAAGAGCTGGACTGGTTTTATGTATGTACATATCAGAAAGGACAAAAACATTCAAGGCTTGAGAATTTATTGAAGCAGAATGTAAACATAGAGACTGAATCCATTAATGAACATTAAAAGAAAGTATATTAAAATACTTTTAGATCCTTAGAATATTTATTTTTAATTATAAAGAAATTTTAATTATAAAGAAAATTGCAGATGTTCCATGAACATCTAATGAAGTTTTATTTAAAATGTGAGATATTTTCTGTATAATTATTGGTAAAATTATTAATAGATCTCAAACCTAAAACCTTATTTAAAGCTAAAAATAAAACTGGTTTGTGTCTTACTTAATTAATATCCTTTGAAGGAAGTAGAAAATGGGTTTATATATGTGGGAGATGGGTAGAATTTCCAGAGAAAAATCAGCTTGCATACTGATTTTAAGGAATTCAGCAGTGGTGGATGACAGTCCAGAAATCCTAACATTGAATGAGTTAATGGCTGGCCAGATACTAGTAGAAGGTAAGTGAGTAGAGAGGAGAATATCAAGCTTGATCAAGTTAGGTGTTCTATGTGGGGCAAGAGACACATTTCACATAGCATTTATCACACTTTCATTTTCCAACAGCATAGGTACTTATGGCACTATTGGCTGCTCTGTAGACACTGGGGAGAAACAATCAATTGTTGCGAGCAATTAATCTGGCCTATTTTCATGTGAGGTGAATCATTCTCTCTCACACTGACAATATTGCATATGTCATTGTAAAAAGATACTACAGGGGGTAAAAAGCAGTATCTACTAGAAGACCTGTGAGACTCAACAAAGTTTCTGGTTGTGCCACATGTTGAATTTCCAAGATTAGTAGGAAATTAATTGCTAGTTTAAAATTTGCACAATTAAGCTCATGCTGTACGACAGAGATATGTTGCCGGGATGGAAGAGACAAATTGATGCAAATGAATTGTATCCCACCTCTGCATATGGGTATTTTTTGCTAAGAGAAGATGTGTAACTGCAATATTGTCAAAAACCTGTAGTAATAAGAGGAGGGTAAAATGAGGAAAGGTGTGATTTGAAAGTCCAGGAAAGCACTGTTTTACTGTTCAAAAGTTGTACTTCTGGCAGCCTCTACCAGCACACCACTAACAACATCATTTCAGTGTTCAGCCCTAGACTGGTTTTCAACAGCACACTGCAGTCATTCAGTAACTATAAATGCCTCCAGGACATTTCAGCAGTTTTCTCAGATTTCCTGTGCCATAATAAATAAGCCTGTAAATATACATAAATTGAGGCTTAATGTTCTTCTTGAATTTCTGATGACAGCCACTCAAGTTTCACTCTCATGATTGTTGATGCATTTGAATGTAGTCTAGATGTATGTAGGAAGTACATCTTTTGTACTATTTAATCTACTTGATTTAAGGAGTCTGAAAAAGTATAATTCTTTCCTATGCTGTAGATGCCTGTAAAATCCTAAAAAACTGAGGAAAAACTGAGGTAAAAAAATGCATTTTTCAGAAAACACTAGTGACTGTAATGTTTCGCATGTCAAAAACTTGTATACTGATTTCTGTCTTGCCAGCTAGCTTTGAAATCTCATACTATTTATGTTGATTAATTTTAGTGGGAAAGGACTTGGACCTCAGTTTGTCTGTATATTATTTCCTGTAATCAGATCTTGAATAAGAGTTTTCTGGGTTGTTTCGGAGAAAACGTGCCAGTGGAGCGTTTAAGTCCATGTTGTTCAGCTGCCTTTTTGCCAAAACATTAGCCGTGTCAAAAAAATTTACAAAGGCCTCTGAAAAAAGGCCTTTTAGCTCTGACAGGCTGAGAAAATTGGGGCTGTTCATCTTGGAGAAGAGGAGGCTGCATGGAGACCTCATAGCAGACTTCCAGTGTCTGAAGGGGGCTTATAAGGATGCTGGGGAGGGACTCTTCACCTGGGATTGTAGTGATAGGACAAGGGGTAACAGGTATAAACTTAAACAGGGGAGATTTAGGTTAGATATATAAGGAAGATGTTCTTTACTGGGAGGGTGGTGAGGCACTGGGACAGGTTGCCCAGAGAAGTGGCAAATGCTCCATCCCTGGGAGTGTTCAAGGCTAGGTTGGAGAGAGCCTTGGGTGACATGGTTTAGTATGAGGTTTCCCTGCCCATGGCAGAGGGGTTGGAACCAGATGATATTAAGGTCCTTTCCAGCTCTAACCATTCTATGATTTTATGAAATGTCTGCAGACTACTGCAGCAAATCCACCATTATACAGAGAGTATATTGAACAAAAGGGAAAATTTGTGAAAGTCATCAGCTTTCATGAGTGTCCATGAACACTTTCATGACTCATCTCTGCTCTACTTGTTACTGGAAATGGGCATGAACTAAAAACGTCTGGAGTCGCATGAGATGCTAATTATTCTTGTGTACTCTAGGGCTTGTTTATGCTGGCTCAGGCAGTACATCCATCAAAGCAAAACGGTTTCATTTTGTCACTAGTTCTGAGTGCTGGCAGATGAAGAAAGTAGTTCCTTTGTCTTCCTGATGACATGTATGTTGCATTGTTGATGTTGTTTCTGGCTTGAAATCAGCTGGGAAGGAAGCATGACCTGAATTGGCTGAAAGTAAACATTCTTTTACTTTGCATAAGCCCTGGTATTTCATCATAGAGAGTTGGACTTGATTTTGATCCAGTACTGCAACTCAGGAAGCATCTAAACACCTTTAAATTCTGTTGACTTCAAAGGGTATGAAGATGACTTGCTCAGATGCAAACCTCTCAAATTTATATGCAGATAACCAAGTAAACATCATCTTAGAAACATCATTACCAGTGCTAAAAGAAAAGCCGCAAGTGCTAGAAGGGAGTAGAAGGCAGACATGTAAAATAGAGTGCAGATAAACTCATGAGTTAATTTGTGAATGTATGAACCAGCTGTGGGGGCAGATACACTAGAAAGAACAAACTCCGCATGATCATCAGGGAAAATAGGAGTGTTTATGGATGTCAAATATATTACACTCTGAGTCAGTTGCTAAAAACACTCATTCAAGAGATAAGGACCAGAAATCTGAAAAGAGTGAATTGTCAATGGGAACAAGAACTTAGCCAACTGTGGAATACAGCTAAAAAGAATGTCACTCTCACAGTTCCTTGTCCTAAGTAAGTCTCCCTTATCCTAAGGTAAGGACGAAGAACTGCCTAGGAGGCAGAGTTACTAAAGGAACCAAAACAATTAGTCCTCTTCAGGTAACTGGAGAATTTGGCAAACTGAGGTTAGTCACAAAGCGATTGATCAAATAAGGATAGGACTGATTAGAGTAAATACAAATACAGAGTGTATAAAGAGGGTTCTGTGGAACTGGTTATTGAATGCAGAATTTACCCCATAGTCCTTGCCTACTCTTCTGTTTTAATCTCCAAACCCTATTTTTGGTACAACACAGAAGCTCCCTCGCAGCTATCACACGTAGATGTCTTCCAAAGGACAGCAAGGCCCATAGGAATGTTATGCCAGTGACTCTTCTCATGGTGCAGCCTGGACATACTCCCGGGGCAAATACAGTTGCTGGTCCTGTAACGCATCCTTGTGTTTTCCCTAGTTTACATGTACTTTGAAAGAAACTTTGAAAGTAGGATGCTAGACACTTCACGTAAGAAAAAGCTGTCCAAGTTTAATATCACTAATATGGTTTAAGGCAAATATAGAACTTTAAAATATTCCTTTCTCAGCTTCATTTAACTCAGGATTTTGGGCATGACCTTCCTAGCATAGAGTAAATAAATAGTGAATTGCTAAAAAAGATAAATATTCTGAAGAATAGTATTATATACGAATATGAGAAGTTCCTAATCCAGGTTTGATGTTCTCTACTGAAAGGAACAAACTTTTCCTTATACTTTCTATAAACTTATGGAGATAATACTGGTAGGATAAAAGTTTTGTTTCTCTCTTTAGCATTAATTGCAATTTTAAATTTTCAATTGTCAATTGCCTGATTTGAAGATAGAAATATTATAAACACTGTTATTAGTACTACTATAAAACATGCCTATAAAAGTTTATTAGTCCACCTTCCCTTCCTGAAATCAATGTACATAATTCTTTGTTCAAATCTCAGTTATTTAGTTAAGGAGACATGATTTTTTAAGTCCAGACCCGTTCCAAAAATTTTCAGGTCACAGAATCATAGGAGCATAGAATGGTTAGGGTCGTGATGTGCTCCTCTTGTAGTTGTGATGCTGAGTCCAATGAAATTCTTAAATATTTATGATGTTCTATCTGCCTATTACTGCAGATAAAAAAAAAAATCATTTGCACTGTGGCTAAGAGATTCTCAACATTTTGGAATTTTTAATAATCCATATTAATACTCAGAAGTTGGGGTTTTACATTTTTTGCGCTTTCTTCCCGTGAAAATGACAGTTTTAATGCAATATTTTGCAAACAATATGTTAACTGACCTAAAAATAAGCTTGTTAATCACCAGACTCCTTTATGATTCCCTTAACATTTTCAAGGAAAATACTGTCTCTGCACCTTTCTTTAACAACTTTAATCTTTCTTGAACTACTCATCCAGAGCTTCCACCAAGTCTTTATAAGGCAGATACAGTAGGGTGATACAGACAATACTGTGTTTTTAAGCCTATTACTGCTGGTTTTGTTTCAGGATGTGTTGGAGTTTGGGATAACATCACCTGCTGGCGTCCTGCAAAGATTGGAGAGACTGTCACTGTCCCTTGCCCAAAAGTATTTAGCCTTTTTTCTGGCAAACCAGGTATTTTATTTTAAGGTGGCTTTTTTTTGCTGGCTTCTCTTCGATATTTTATAACGTACTGTGCTAAAAACGTATTATTAGCAGTTTAATGTTTTCGTTTTTAAAGAATTAACAGATTATTAATAGAGCTGTTAATGATACATCACAAAAAGTCCAAATAATTGTCTTTGTAGTCCCTATGGTGTTTTTTGAATCAGATCCTAAATATGTATTCTAATGTAGGGACTCTCATCAAAGCTGAAGACATTGCTTGCTCTTTTTGACCTGTTTATGTTAATTATTAATGCATCTGAGCCTGACTGACCTCTTTAACAGTTGTCAGCAGGTCACATGTACTTTGTTCCTTTTGTGCTTTGGAGGGGAGTTCTGATTTGCCTTCATGAGAATAATGAACTAACATTAACACATATTACCTAAAAAATATCACTGTTGCAATTTAAGGTGGTTATTACAAAACCCTTTTTTTCTCCTTTTAGTGGAACTGAAAAGAGCTCATTAGTGTCTCAGATTGCTGAAGTATTTAACTGTTTCAAGTCTTGAATCTTCTGCACCATCTTGTCAATACATCATACTGTTTAACTTTGCACTTTGGCTTGTTAGTGGGGTTTTAAAAATAGATGAGGCACACATGGCATTTCACATAGGTATCTCAAAATGCAGCAGGAAAAATCTTATCTCTGTTGCTGAGGTGAGAAACCTTTGTCATGAAGAGCTGGTGACAGATGCAAAAATTATCACAGTGATTTAGTTTTGTCTTTGAGGTCTCTGTGGAGAGCTTTTTAACAATATTACTTTTAGCATAGAGGCTAACTTGGGGTATGACTAAAATACCCTTATTCTCAAAACTGTTGATTAAGTCTTGTTCCAGTAAAAAATTAGTAACTAAAACAATGTACAGGATCAGCAAAGATTTTCATTCCTGGAACTGGTGAATCTTGGATTAGTTTATCATGGATAGCCTAAACAGTTTATAGTGGGGAAAGTATGTATAATCTTCACTAGATCTTGTGAAATCTATAAAAGTGTTCAAATGACTCAGATGAAGATAGTAAGGTGTTATCATGACACAAGGCAAACTAAAAAATATCTACATTTTAAAATCTGCATTGAATCAAACTGCTTCTGTTTGCCAGAAGTTAGATCATGTATGCTCTTTCTGGAGTTTGGTCATTTGATTTAACAATTTATAGCATCTTTCAAAACATTTTAACTTTCCTATTAAAAAAGGGCAATAAATATTTAATTCTGAAACCTTCACAATGCTTACAACTCAATCTCACTTGGGCATGGTGTCATTACAACTGAAAAATCGCTTCCCTTTTATAGTTTGCTGTAGATTTCCATATACACCTTTTTTATAGCTACCTGTTTAATTCTTGCTTGTGGAACTAACACAGCAGTTTTTTAGAGGTACTTCAATTAAGAGGATTTTTTCAATCTTGTATTTCTAAAATTTCAGAGGAGGAAGATAACAAACATCTCGCTTGCTTGTTTCAATTACGATCTGAATAAGTATCTCAGACACTTTATAATTTGATTATACTCAGGAATATATAATTAATTTATTCACTTGGGTCTTATGGCAGGAAATTATAACTATTGTTAAACAAGAAATCTGACTCTTTATTTAGCCAAATTTGTGGGATATATGTTTAGGCTTTCCAAGGTTTTAAGAGGAATTAAAATTCTACTACAAGATGATCTAGATTGCCTTATTTTTTATAGACATATTCAAAATCACAAGTAGGCTTTTAAATATCATTTTTTTTATGGACTTCTTAATTTAAATTGGTGTCGTGGTTTAAACCCAGTCAGGTAACTCGTTCACTCACTTCCCCCCCCCCCTTCTTTCTCTCCCCCTACTCCCGGAGGGACAAAGAGGAGAATCGAAAAGAATGCAACTCCCACAGGTTGAGATAAGAACAGTTTAGTAACTAAGGTATAACACAAATCTCTACTGCTACCACCAATAATAACAACAATAAAGGAAATAACAAGGGAAGAGAATACAACACCTCACCATCAGCCGACCGATAACTTGCCCCCCTCAGCCCGACCAAGCTCTGACCGATACCTCCTCCAACCCTGCAGTCTCCCAGCCCTTCCGGCTAACTCCCAGTTACCTCCTGGGCATGACGTGCTGTGGTATGGAATACCTCTTTGGTCAGTTTGGGTCAGGTGTCCTGTCTCTGCTTCCTCCTGGCTTCCCCTCCTCCCCGGCAGAGCATGAGGCTCACAAAGTCCTTGGCCACACCAAAACATCATTGTTATCAGCTCTGTTCCCAAGACGAAATTCAAAACACAGCACTGCACCAGCTACCAAGAAGGAGAAAAATGACTGCTACTGCTGAACCCAGGACAATTGGGAATTTAAAAAAGCAGCTGTTTTCTCATCTTTACAGCTTCTGGAGAGGTGGCTCTTAATTTCTTCAGTGATGGTCAAGGTTATAGTTTAAACATCCCACTCCATGGAATGGTAATAACTTTATGTCAAATGACTTTTTACTGTAAAAGCAGTCCTGTTATGCTGTAATGTTTATTGTGTATTGCACATGATGATGTAAGTATATGGGTATCAGAAAGCTATTCTGTGAATTTTTTTTTGTGTGTCAAATTGTAGGTTTCAAATGAGGTAGCCATCTAAAATTCTTAATTGCGTGAAACAATGGTGTAGAAATAAGCAATGTCTTCCATAGAACATTGCCTGTCTTTAAGTTAGAAGGCCATTATAGTACTTGCAGTACAAAATACTTCAGCATCTTGAGTACATAGTGTGTTTTTCTTGAGAAACTGGGTTTGACATAATTTGTGGTTCTGTTAACCTACTCCTCTGCTCTGCCTAGTCAGAGAATCGGGAAGTACTTTTAAAGTGAAGATTCTTCAGTGTGTATAAATAGGTTACATTTAATGTAAAAAAAGCCACATCTATGCCAAATGGCAAAAGCGGTCCTGTTGTTTGAGGAGACACTGTGATTTGAGGTCAAGACCTTGTTACAAACTAGAAAGATTTGGTTATTGGTTGGTCAGTCATTTATTGGGTATTTACAACTTTCCACTGAAGACTTTATACAAAGAAGAATTTCCAGTAACCAATCAGCAAGCTGAAAATCACAAAGGCTTTAGTTTGGAGTGTATAGAAACACATTCGGTTATTCTTGGCCAAAGCTGATCTGTGACACATAAAATTGTTCTTGTGTGGTGAAAACCAGGCATCCTTAAGTTAGTTACAGACTCCAAACAAAAGCAGTATGGTATTATAGATTTCAGGTATCACGGATATAGAAATTTTGCTAAGAAAGTTAACGGCAAGTTGCTTAAGATTTAGCACTGTAAGTGTAAATTATAACTTTAATGACTATTCTTTATTCTGATATGGGACTCTTTAGTTTTCTCCAATGGAAGCTATTCCATATTGTATGAACATTAGTTTGTATTAATTAGTGTAAGGAGCAGAATCATGGGTTGCCCCATCTCTGAGTGACTTCATCTGGGAAGAGAATCAGCTTCTCTCAGTTCTGACCAAAAAGTCCTTTCTGAAATCAATAAATGCTCAAAATTCCTTTCCAACCATCCTCACACATCTCCTGTACGTTCCTTGGACTACGTTGCTTCAGTGGTTCAAAGAGTGAGATTCAACATGAATATTTATTTCCTCATTCTTCTAACTGTCACATAATTTGACCTTTAAGGTGCATTACCAACTCTACCAACATTTGCTGTAGCAGTAATTCATCACCATGACATAATAAAGCTTTTATCACTCTTCAGTAAATGATTTGGTGTTGCTTTCTCAGAAAAGCTTAAAAATTTGGTTAGAACAACTCTCACTTACATTACTCTTGTATATAATTACTCTACCTACAAATTGTCCCCTTTATAGAGTAAGCTGAAAGGCTTTCCCCTGAATACTTTAGATAAAACAGCAAAATACTTAATGCTTTTGCAGCCATAACAGAAATAGGTGTTATACCAAGCAGAAGCCTGCCATCACAGCTTGGAATTACTTTTGGTTTTCTCTAATGCGAAAGCAACTCTGAGCACAAGTAAAAGCCAAAATAATATGAGTGAAGAGCACATGAATAAAATGGCTGGGTTGCTTTAGCAGAGTTGCTCAGAAATATGGGATGTTAACTGAGAATGACAAAGTGAAGTTGTCTAAAGTTTTATTGATGAGGAGACTTTAGAATATTACTGATTTTAACTCTCAAATTTTGCTTTACAGGAAACATTAGCAAAAATTGTACAAGTAATGGGTGGTCAGATATTTTTCCTGACATCTTAAGTACTTGTGGATATAATGACTATGAAGATGATTATAAGGTAGGAAAAATACTTCTTCTATTCATGTAGATGCTGGTGTTCAATACAGCTATCAGACATACTCTGCTTCTAAACAATTCCCATTTTCTTCTATCAGAATTAGTGAAAATCTGTAGTAAATTTTGATAGCAGTTGCCATATGCTTGGATTGCGAATGCCATATAAGATGCAATTTGAAATGTAGAATTCAGTACCTGTTTGAAGATCAAGGCTATAAACAGTTTGTAATTACAATAATGCATCTCCATTTCTAATATTGCAGTGTTCCTTGGTTTGTGCACAGTATGATCTGCTTTTTGTTCTTTCTAGAAGATTGTTATAACAAATCCTAATACTGAACTAGTCTGTTAATAATACAGGCACCACTTGCTTGCTAGTATGTGTTTAAGTAAAGTAAAATGTATTTATGTAATTGGAATTATTGTAGATGCATATTGGACTTTAAATTACCTTAGGAATTAGAAGTAGCTCAAAAAGCTATCAAGATATCTTAAATACACTATAAATGGAAAAATGAATTTGTTCACTTTGCAGATACCGTATTTTTTCTTTTTTTTTGAGGGAAGTACCTTTTTCCATCACATTTTACCTGTTTCTCGGTTGTTTTTCTGCTGAAGCTAACAGAGTTAGATTTTGTTTACAACCAATCACCAGTGTCATTACTTAAAGAATATTCTTTGCCTGACTGTTTCAGTGGAACAAGACCATAGTTCTTTTCTAACCGTAAGACTGACAAGTCAGAAAGTGGGTAGAGAAGTGCTGGCTTGTCAGAAAGAAGATAGGCTGTTCCTGTGCAAATATTTTTTTTTTTTTTTCATGATTAAAGGATAGACAAGGATTATCAGAATAAAATCTGAAAAGGCAAAAGGAAAGCATATGTTTCAATGTGTTTCTTCATGGGAGACAATATAAAAAATACGGGTGTCATTCAGTTGTGAGATGTCTGGAGGCATTTGAGGTTCTGTGTCAGCCAACTGTTACACAGAAAGATACTCTCTTGATTTTGGATCTTAGTGCTCAGTGGTAGCACCTGAAAACAAAAAATCTTTACTCAACATATATCAGTGTAATTCATTTTTATTTGCCATAGAGTTTCAACAGTAAGAGCTAAAAATGAAATCTCAAGGATTTGTATACAAACTATTTTTGACACAAAAATGTCATGCAACAGTATGCTTTGCAGATGATCAAAGTTACAGTAACTAAGGAGATTGTATTTTAGGTAAGGTGACGAAATGGTTAAGTTTTCTTCTGCATGCACAGTAGAAACTGTGGTGTCAGTTTGGTGCCTGCGTCTTCGCTGCTGAAAGAGTTTCCGTTATAGATCCAGTTAGGTATTTATTCATGGGGGTTTTTTTTGCCGTCTTTTAGGATATGGACTTGTGTCTTTACTTCAAAGGGGACTTATTTCTATACATATTTTATATTTATTTTTATATATGCGTGCACACAGACATATATATCTTTCCAGATATGCGTCTGTTGGTGCAGTTTTGAATATTCTAGAAAAGGTCTAAATGATAGAGATTGGTGAGCAAATACTGAACAAGCAATTTATTAATAGGTACTGACTTTTTATCTAGAAAATGCACTGAATTGGAAAAGCTTATTTAAAAATACCATAAGCGTGTCATCTATTATTTTTCTGCTGAAAGAACTTGTCTGCTTCCACAGGTTGCACTGATTTTGCTCAGAGTTAAAACATTTAATTTTTATTCCATGTCAAGTGGTATGTTAGCAGATTCTATAAAAAGAAGCAATTTGCATTATCACATCAAATCTAAACATTTATTTATTTCCAGTGTCTTTCCTATAAGTGAAGTAGCTACTGCTAACCTTCAACATAAAGTTTCAGGTACATCTCAGTTATTCAAATGATTGCTTTTTTTTTTTTGTTTCTGTTGAGCTCATGGCAGCACAATGGCAAAATGTCTAGCTTGAGTTGACATGTTAGAATCACACATCAAAGTGTGTTAACCCAGCCCAGGCCTCACTGCAACCTTTCCTTGACGTAATTCGACATCTTCTATCTAGACTGAACAAGCTAGAGGTGTGTGTCCTGGCTGTCTTCAGAGAGTATTAAGCTCTCTGTCAACATTACTAATATATGAGAAGTTGCCTGGAGAATGTAAAGGACTGAAGTGTGTCCACTTTATTTAAAATAATGATTGGATCAGTTAATAGAGAGTTGTCTAATTTTAGCATGAATTGGTCCAAGATTTATTAGATCACACAGAAACCCGACTGTATACAAGTTACAGGCTTTGTGATTTGAATGCATAGGGTTATACAAAGACAAAATCATGGAGAGAAAGATCCTCCAGACTTTTAAATGTGGTGATACTCTCGCATCTTGTGCATAAGTAGAAGCATCATCTATGGAAGAAGTATCCCCCTATTTGGCTGGTTTCCTGAAGCACACACTTGCTCTTCAGAGACAACCATCCCAGCTGTGCTAGCCACTATGCAACACAGATGCTTTACCCAAGACAAGTGGAGTCAAGGCAGTGAGGCCAGGACTGGCAAAAGCACTGTCCTGAATGTCTGTATCCAGCTTTAGAAAACAGATTCATTACTACTGTCTGTGAAGGGGATCACTGCACTAGACTAATGGATTGTTTGTATTGAGTCTAAATTGAATCCTTCCCTCTCAACAAAACGTAGTGCAGGGCAGCCATTTACCAATGCCTTTTCTGTGTGCCTGTAAGTCATGCTGTATCTATTGACATTACATTCTGCATTTTTCATTACTTTTTCTGTGAGATATGATTAAGAGACCAGTATTTCTTAACATAAATACAAAATCATCTTCCATTGACTTCAAGTGAGAAGACTAGGCCTGAATATAAGCTGATATTCTCTGTTACAGAGCACAGTGTGAATTCTATTTATTAGGTGCAGACTGTCCAAAGATACTGCAGTGAGAATGCTCACATTCACCAATGCACATATGCTGGTGCACACTTACACAGGCAGCTTTGAAGGTTTGTGCATTTAGGAAGTTGTCATCTCTCCCACTGGGGCTAAGGAGCTTTGAATATGAAGATACTCTTACTGACATAATTAAAAATGAATGATGCTACTGTTATTAAGAGATACTTAAGGAAATACTAGTCACATGGTTTTGGGTGATGTTTAGGATTAGGCTGAATTGAAGAAGAAACATGGCAGAAAAGGGCTATCATTAATTACTTGTATAAAGATTATTAAATACCATGAGGAATACCCATTTTATTGTATGTATTTTTAATAAATTCTATTTTTATCTACACTATTCAAAAAATGTGTAGAAGTGGCTCATAAAAAAGTGAATTGTCCACAATATGTAATCCATCTCTTTATCTCTTTATATTTAGTCTAAGCACTACAGGATTTTAGAAATGTCTACTGTGCTATTAATTTTGCAAAAGGAAAGAGCTAGGGTTCTTTATTCCACTCTATTTGCATTTACTCCTTTCAGCGTTTCTAAAGCACTGAACCCATTTGCTAATCCCAGTTCTGATTTTACATTGTTTGTACAGTGTAAGGTTTTCTGATGATACATTCTTCTAGAATAAATATTTGGATATTATGGACTGTGCTCTGACACATGTATCATGAAAATGATGTAAGATCACAAATAATAATATAGTTATAAGTAATATCTGTGAATACTACTCTCTTACATACAGCGTTTACTGTAAGGGTGGTGAGGCACTGGAATAGGTTGCCCAGGAAAGCTGTGAATGCTCCATCCCTGGCAGTGTTCAAGGTCAGGCTGGACAGAGCCTTGGGTGACATGGTTTAGTGTAAGGTGTCCCTGCCCATGGCAAGGGAATTGGAACTGGATGATCTTAAGGTCCTTTCCAACCCTGGCTATTCTATGATTCTATTACAGGAATATCCTAGGATGTTCCTGTCACTTAGGATGATAATGATCGTGAATACTTTAGTAGTGATCAGTTATATTTCTGGTTAAATTCATAAAGAGGTGTGAGTTTTTCTTTTATGTTAAGGGTAACTTCTGGTCAATAGCAAAAGTCCTTTGGACAAAGAAGTGCACCCTGTCTAAACTTCAGAGCATTTTGCCCTTCAGCACTGACTTACCCTTTCACCCCTAGAGGTCCTTCCAAACCAAGGCTGAGGTTGAAAGATCCACAGGGTACCTGTCAACTCTGCCCAGGAAGCTTCTGTGCTATGTCTGTTATGTAAATATTCGGAAGACTCCTGTCTCCTGAACTTGGTAAAAATAACATGAAACTAACTTTAAAGGAAACATCAGCAGAAAAGGCTGTCTGTCCTGAGAAAACAAAACACAAGTGTGCTTAAGAATAGATTTTAAAAAAAATTGTATTGAAGATCACACTACTTACACAAATTTTCACCAATCCTGTTTATTTTTGTGTGTGTTTTTCTGTGCCCTTTAAAAACCTGTTAACATTATGTAGCCACAAAAAAAGAAGAAACATCTTTATAGTCTGGAAAGAAGTCTGTAAAATTGTTCTATAAAATTGCTCTGAAAGCTGCTGATGTCTGCTGTGCCTAACCACCGACTGAGTTTAGTTCAGTGGTTGAAATGTGAATGTTTTCCTCAAAACTTTTAAAGTAAATCGTTGGATTTCAGTTTTGGAATCAGTAGTGCTCAGATAATCACGTGGATATTTTGCAGAGACCAGCTGTTCTCACTAGTGTTGCAAGGTTTGTTAGACTTGCAGAATATCTCATATCATTTCATATGAATGACTTGAATCAGCTTTGAATGCAGTTAAAAAATCTAAAGGGGTTTTGGTATTCAGTCAGTTGTTCTGTTTTGCTCAATGCATGCCTTCTTTGCACTCATTTTAGTCCTGCCAACCTTGAATATTTTAATTAAGTTCAGAAGTTAAAGCTTTTTTGAGACCTGATGAATTACAGTTCACAGAGAATAGTAAGTAAGAAATAAAATATGACCATCTTACATAACAGACATTGCTTTTTATGTGCTGTCAGATTTGGTATTTGGTATTGCCTGTTTCTTTTGC